CATCCCTGTGCCCTGGATCCCTCCCTGCCACTTTTGGGGCTGCGGGGCCCATTTTCCCACAGTGTTAGGGGATTTCAGTGTCATCTCCCGGCCTGGGCCACTTGCACAGGATGCTCTGCCAGGAGAGCAAGCCCTGAGAGCTGTTTTCCTTGTTCCAGCCGAAAGCAGAGCAGGCGGACGCATCCAAACCCACAGCGAAAGTGCCACAGCACCCAGGGAGAGCACCCACGGCACAGCCCCTGGGAGCAGCAGCAGGTCAGTGGGCCCGGCAGCACGGTGCCATCCATGCTGCGCTGGCTGCGTGGCACCCCAGGGGCTTGGCCAAGCCCCTCAAGCAGGGCCTGTCCCCTGCTAATGGTGGCTTTGTTTGTCCCCCAGCAGACAGCAAGGCCGGTCCAAGGACAGCTGGACCGCGTGGTCCCACCGGCACAGGCACAGGGCAGCCTGGGGCGGAAGGAGAGAGCGTTTTCTCAAAAATCCTGCCAGGGGGGGCAGCGGAACAAGCAGGCAAACTGACTGAAGGTGAGAGCTGCTCATGGGGACAGGGACAGGGACGGGGCACTGATGCTCTTCTGCACTGAGACAGGGTTGGGTGCCATGGGAGTGGCCGGGAGCAGCCAACGGGATGCAGTGCTCCCACGGTTTGGGGGCCAGGGAGGTGGGCGGCTGGGGCGGCTGCACTGTGCTGATGCCTGTCCTGGGTTCCCTGCAGCGGTGTCGGCTTTTGGCAAGAAGTTCACTTCGTTCTGGTGAGAGAACGGCACAAGGTGAGTGCAGCCGGCACTGCGCGCTGTGCCATGGGCTCTGCCTGCCCCAGCTACACCTGATGCCCTTCCGCTCCCTCCCGCCACAGGAGTTTGGGAAGCGAGTGGAGATCGAGTCGTTGCAGTGGAAAAACCTATGAAGAAGCCAGTGAATTCAGCATGCGGCGCCGGACTCTGAGTATAACGGTGAGTGTCCAGGGCACAGCCGTACACCGGTTCCCTCCATCACACCGGTCCCCTCCACCATGCCATCCCCAGGGCTCCCGCAGCACTGCTGTCCCACTTGCCACCCGCTGAGCCCTGCCCTGCCACGCTCCCAGCCCCTAGAGTGAGAAGGACACAGTGCAGCCCCATCCCCTTTGCACTGGGCCACTCGTCCCCATCCTCATCCCCGAGTGCTGGCCCCAAGCCAAGGTGTGGGGGCTTGGCCTTGTTCCCCGGTCTCTGCATCCCCGCGTGGGCCCATGCTATGCAAATGCTAGTGCAGACCCTGGGTTTGCAGGGAAGGTTTGGGCAGCCTGAGCTCTGTGCCAGGAGCCCGTCCAGCACGGGGGCGGCAGCAGCTGCTCTGCCGGCAGCGCCTCTTGGCTCGCCGCCGCCCGTTCGCTTGGGCCGGCACTGCTGCTCAGCGGGGTCCCCTTTGTGGGGACATCGCTGCTCACGCTAATGCCTCTCTCTCTGTCTCTTGCAAGCTTTTGAAAGCAGGGCGATCCCTGGATGCTGGACCAAACGGCGGCTGAGTGGGGGCCCGGCAGATACCCCGCGGCCAGGCCCCGCAGGTGGGCCGTGGCCCTTTCTCAAGATTATACGCAGAGTTGCTCCCTCCGAACCCCAGCTCTGGCCTCTTCATAGGTTTTTCCCCCCACGTGAGCCGAGGGCTGGGCGCCGCAGGCGCCACTCCTCCTTCCCGATCCCGTCCACCCCACCGGGGCCATCCCCATGCCCCCTGCACTGCGGCCCGCTCCTGGCCCCGCTGGGGAGCCCCCGGAGCGCGTCAGCTAGGACCTAACACTGTTTCACTACCGAAATATGAGGCCATAGGACTCTGACAGGTGGCACAGCCGGCCTTTGCCGACACGGCTGCCGGCCAGGCGCGTGTTCTGGCACACGATGCCGCCCCGAAGCCATTGGAAGCATTGAAAGGGCTGCGCTCGCCCTCGCCACGCAGCCAGCGCGCCCGCCGCCGGGGACCCCTTTTCTTTCAAGAACAGCCTTAATCATCCCACTTTGATTTCTGTGTATACCTCATCTGCACCGGGGGGGCACGGGGCGTCGTCAGGGGGGGTCCTTTTTTCTCAGTTTCTCTGGGTTCATTTTATTTTGGTTTTGGGTTTTTTTATTTAAACTTTGTACCAAATCCTCTTCCCTCTTTGCTTTGTGCGATAAGTTAGCACATGGGCTGTCGTCTGTAGAAGCAATAGAGTGCAGGAGGCTACAAAAGAGCACAAATCCCGTGGAACAAGATCAGGAGAGCTTTGCCTCCGGCAGTATCCTTCCTCTTACTGTGCAATCCAAGTCCTTCTCAAGCCATTTTGCGGGGACGGCCAGCGCGGTTACCAGCGGCCAAATCCCGCTTGCCCCGCCAGGAGGGGGTTCCCCGTGAGGGGGGGGAGGCAGCCCGAGGAGGGGGCTTGCCAGCGTACAGCCACGCGCCGCCCGCGCCCTGCCGCCTCCCCGCGCTGGCAGCACCCCCCTGGTGCCCCCCGCGACGGGCAGCAGCCGCCCGCTTGCCCGCCTGATGTTCTATGCAACGAAATAACACGACTCCAGAACAAGACCTGTGAATAGCTAGTCAGTTCAATGTCGCGCCTAAGGGTTTCATTGCAAAGCGTGCCGCTGAGCGACCCGATAACTACTCTTTATCGACCACCCGTGCGTATGAATTCGTGGCATGTTCAACCCACGGAGGGCCACTTTGCCAAAGGGCAGCCCTAGCGCCCGTGACCGTCTGTCCCATTGTAGAGCATGGCTTGCTACTTCTCTGCACGGTTCCACCTGCCTTTCAGTGCTTGCTGTTCTTTGCCTGGACTTTTCTTTTTTTCTTTTCCATCAGTCCATCACCGTACTGAAAGCTCTTAGCAGATTTATGCACTTGTTATCAAGGACCCGGTCACCATGGGAAGCCCACGCTCTGTGGCAGGTCCCTCGCAGGGGGCTCTGCCTGCATCCGAGGCTGGGGGAGAGGCCGGCGGCTGCGGGGTGGGGGGAGCACGGCGCTCCCGTGGGGCAGCCCCACAGAGGAGAGTCCCGGCCCTGCGCACACCCACTGCCTCTCCCCATCGATGACAAGTGCATAGCCTGAGGGTGCCTCCTCCGGGCCCCCGGCCCCCGCCGCCCCTTGCGCTGTAAATACTTGTACAGTGTGTAAATCGCACGCGGGACCGAGACCCCCACCCGGGCCTGTCTCGCCGCCCGAGCACATCCGCCACCTCGCCGCTGCGCTCGCCGGGACCGGGGGCATGTAGCCCACCGCGCCGGGCCGGGCCCCCAGCCCGAATCGTGGCAGTCTGCTGGCCGGGGCGGGGGGACGGAGGGTGCAAAGAGGAAGGGCCGAGCGCGGCCGGGCACCGTGTCCAGCGGTAAGTGCGACGCTGGGTGCGCTCCCTCTGAACATTGTGACAGTGTGCGTGTCTGCTGTGCTCTGTGCCACCCGTAGTGACCCGTACCGTGCCGTACTGTGCCGTACCGTGCCGTACCGCCCCCGCCGCTGTGTCGTGACTCCCTCCCAGAAGCTGCCCCCTCACCAGGTGTTTCTGTGGGAACAGAATAAAAAGGACTTGACACAAACCACGGAGTGGCCCCGCTTCCTGCCTGCGGCGCGGGGGGACGGGAGGGCCGGGCCCCAGCACACGGGGGGCAGCCGGGCTGGGAGCCCCGTGGGCCTGGCTGGGACCAAGCGCCGGTGGGCTCTGCATCCCACGACCGGGGCTGCGGGGCTGGCGCGTCCCTGTGGGCTCACAAGGGCCCGATCCCCCCCGGCCGGGCTGTTGGGCTGGGGGGTCCCTGGGGGTCCCAAGGGCCCGATCCCCGCCGGCCTGCGCACGGCGCCCCTGTGCTACGGCCACCCGCCGGGGAAACCACTGCTCGGCGGCCCAG